CGACTGTACGGCTGCTGTCGTGGGCCGGGAAGAACATCGAGCCCTACGGCGTCGACTATATTCTTCAGAGGCTCGGCTTCAGTCAGGTTTGTGTTCATTATTGACATGAAATCTGGTTTTGTTTAAACAAACTTTTCTTTTATGTGAACTGTAGGCGCGGACAACGATTCCCAAATGGATCCAACGCACGACAATGGATGGCTTCGACAAACTACTGGCGCTCACCATGTTTGGGATGTTAATGAAGGCCAGGGAGGATACCAAAGATGGCAATCATCACAATAATCACTGAAATATTGTCCGCGTTATCAGCATTTAGTTCCCGTTTGTGATTGGATTCTGTAGTCAATACCAAAAAGGAGTTCAATTAATCTCTTATTGTATTATATTTTGAAATTAATTTTTTGATATTTCAAGAAATCAATGCTTTTATATACAAAAAGAAAGTTTTATTCATAAAATTAATTTTATATTTAATGGAAATATTTTATTTTAAATCTCGATTGAGATTCAAAATGTGATAAACAATTGTTTTTTGTTATTTGTTTAATTCATTATTGATTTTATTTGTAAATATACATTGATTTGTATTTATACCTGGTAAAGTAATACAAAAATATCTATGACTTGATAACAGTATATATTTGTTGTGAAAGTGGTATCAATTGTGGGAAGCATTTTAAAACTAATACTCAAATTCATATATTAATAATGAACCCGATAGTTTTGTCACCAAAGTGGACATTTTTCAAAACTTGAAGTCATTTTATTTATTGATTAGAAGTTGAGTATTAATTTTTAAATAAATATTATTTGTTTAGTAATTTAGCAAACATTATCGGTATAAGTTTGATAGAAACGCCAAAATTGTATTTAATACAAACTATAGTCCAATGAAAACATTAGATATAATTCTGTAAATTCTTGGGTTTATAAAAAAAGTCATTGTTTTTCAGTTTTGTATTCAATTCATTGGCTTAAAGTGACAATAAACAAATCGAGATTTTTATGATATTAATTAATAAATATATTGTATATATGATTAAAAATTAATTTAAAATAAAATATTTATGATATGAAAAAATTTTTTAATTTCTATATCGATTTGGATGTTGATAGCATTTGTTTCCAAACAAGTACTACATTTTAGTTACAATGAAATTCATCAAATAATATACAATTTGCAAACCAAATGAATTCAAATGTAAGGTAAAAGCAGTAGTAATGTGAATATCAAACAATCGATTGCCGTTTATATCAGCTTTTCTTCTGATATTGAGATCCAATTTCGAGAATAACTGGAATTCTTGTTACGAATCACTTATTTTTCTCATCAGTTTAACTATAATTCATCCAAATATTTAACGACTCGTTATCCGTTTGGCAAGAGTTCAGGAGTAGGACTGAGTGTCTGTGCAAACACTTCCCACTATTTTCTTGTGTCACTAATTCTGTAATCAATTTATCGGAAATGATTCGCTCTTTTGTTTCCGAATATTCTTTAGT